TAAATTAATTAATTTTATTATTAATTATTCAATTAAATATATTTTTTAATTTATATTTATTTATTTTAGCATCTGATGGAAGGATAATTGTGTATGGTGGTACTAATGAAACAGACAAAATAGCAATATTGGATGTAACAAAATCTCCTTTCCAATGGACAATTCCAACAAACATTACTAATTATCCTGCTAATCTGACTTATGAGAATCATAGTTGGCATACTTCAAATTTATATAAAAGTTACATGATAATCTCATTTGGTAACTTGTGATAATAATTATTAAAATCCATACATAAATATATTATCTATTTGTATTAATTTTATTTATATTTAATAATAATAAGGTTTAGTTTTTGATACTGATACTGGTTGCTATCAAAATATTTTATTATTAGATATTAGTGACAAATATAATTATAGATGGCTAGACACATTTGATCCTAAAATCATTACTAGCAAACCAACTACCACCAGTGTTGCTGCTGATCAAAAAACTACTGGTATGCTAGGTATAATTAATGGATCAGTTATATCTGGTGCAATCTTCATCATTGCTCTTATTTCTATTCTTATTTTATATAGAAGAAAAAAGAAACCCAATGAAATGGTTAATAGTGTTGTTAATGATGATGAAGAAGACAGAGAATTAAATCAACAAGCTCATAATGAAAATGTAAACGAGAGTAAAAATGAATTTAATACTAATAATAATGAAAACATTGATAATAGTATCAACAGTGATAGTAATACTAAAACTGTAGTAGATACTAGTCATAAAGACACCCTTGATAATAATAATATTAAAATTTTGAAAGATAATAATAGTAATAATGATAATGATAATGATAATGATAATATTCAGAATGACCAGTTAATTACAATCAATGACAACAATAATCAGATTTCTGTATCCAATTCCAATAGCTCTAAAATAATCAATGAAACAAAAGTAATTGTTGATAAACCTAAGGATAATTGGTTAGAATGGCTCAATGAAGCAATTCAGAATGAACACATTAATTTTTATAAATATAATGACTTTAAAAATACCCAAAAAATTGGTTCAGGTGCTTCTGGAAAAGTTTATAAAGCAATATATAACAATAGTAGTACTTTTGCCTTGAAATCCTATAAACATGATACAACACATATGAAAGAAGTTATTAATGAGGTAAATTTCAATATATTTTTGGTTATAGATTAAAAAAAAATTTTTCAACTAACAATAATAATTGGCCCAATTAGTTGAAATTATTACGTAAAGTTGACTACCATCATAATATTATTCGTTTTTATGGTGTCACTAAGAATGAAGGTATGTTTAATTTGTTTTCTGTTTTGACTTTCTTCCATTAACTAATATTTATATTTATATATAAAGACAAAGAGGAATATTTATTGGT